TAATATTCACAAGTTTTCACGGTAATTTAAGTTACTGCAACCATACAAAGACCATGATTTCAGTTTATTCCCAAAATTTAGGTTCCATGCGGAAAAGTCAGCTTGCATACGTAAGCCTCTTTATTAATCCTTTTGGATTAATTATATTTAAAAATCCCATAGTGCTAAAAATTAATACTTGCGATATAAGTGTGTATTAGGCCAAAAAATTAAAGTCATCCCAAAACATGTTTTCTATGCATATTTAATGTAGAAAACACGATTGGAGATGATTTTGGGGCATATTAATGTGCGTCGTTGTGTGTGATGAGTCCTGTGTCCTGTGGCGTGTTGCCAAAATTTGTTAACTCGATAAATCTTCTTCCAAAAACTCAATTCAAATTCTGACTTTGCAGGATGATTTGGGACTACTAGGAGAAGTGCTGATTAGTTTTTGAGCAATATCTGTTGACCGGTGTAATTTTTTTTGGTCCGAATGGAGTACCTTCAATCCATACATTTTACTTTTTTGATTATTTTTCAACCATTTTGGTGACACGATGGTTTCGTGCTCAGACATGAAATTCAAAATCTGACTTTACGGGACGATTGGGCATTACGAGGAATAGATCTGGTCAAACGACATTGATTGATCGATGTAAAACTTAGACTGTGAAGAGGCACTTATGAGAAAAATGCCTTAAAATGATATTCTTCCAATTTGAATGCTGAAAGAATGTGTAGTGGGGGGTTTTTTGAATCTTATGTTAGTTTTAAGATTCAATCAATTTTTCACAGACTTTTCATACAAAAATCCACAAAATATTTCATTTTTTGTGGTACCGTCATGATGTGAAACTTTGAACAGGCTATTTTTTTGATTGAAATTTCTTTAAACTTGGTGTGATTATTTATTTTGATGAGAAAATAATATTCACAAGTTTTCACGGTAATTTAAGTTACTGCAACCATACATAGACCATCATTTCTGTTTATTCCCAAAATATCGGTTCCATGTGGAAAAGTCAGCTTGCGTACGTAAGCCTCTTTATTCCATATGGAATTGGCGATGGTATTTTCATCGATACTTCGAATCTTGTGAATTCCTTGAAATCGGTGATTTCTGAAAGTTTTGAATCCAAGTGAAATAAAAAATAAAACCTAATGTGGTCGGGTTCACATTATAACATGCTGAATGAACCTGAATTCTTCATCAGAATGTAATTAATTTCATTTGACACCAAATACCAAAATAGGTCAGACCATTAATTTTTTCAACAATGGATTAAAAACTTTTTGTTTCATACAAAAACTGATCAATTTTAAAAATATTGGAAAGTTTATTCCAGTGCTTATAAAACACACGCTCAACGCGATACGTAACTCAATGTGCTGAGTTTTGTGCACTGTATAGTAGCACTCGGTATCGAGTCTCCGAGGGTTTCATATAAACATGCCTAATAAAAAAATAGAGTCGAAAAGACGAAAAAAAAAATTCGACTTGAGCGAGTAGCTACTCACCCAGTTTTCTTGTTGAGTGTTGTTTGCAACCCTCATTAGCGACTCAGTGACATGTAGCGCTTACTATACATTGAGTTATAATATATACTTAGTTATATGCTGCTCCCCGAGAGTGCTCGGTGCGATGCGGTAGCACTGGTTTATTCCTTTCATATGAGTCAAATTACGATCCGACTAAGTTAGTAGAAATGCCATTGAAATTCCACCACTGGGATATCTAAGTCGATTTTTTAATATTTTGGAAAATATCTACATAGAAAAATTGGGAGGCTCGAAATTTGTTTCAGACCTATGGTTCCTTGGGTATAAATGCTTGTTATGACCCATAGAGCCAGAATCGCGATGTGCCTTTGAAGGTTTTTTCAGCCCCCTACAAATTGACCCACTCTAATATATATTTGGTGAATTATCCACTTTAATAGTATCTTGACGACGAAAAGCACCAAAGAGCTGAGCGCAATGAATATAATTTTGATCATCCAGATGCATTTGACATAAATCTCATGGTGGATGTTTTGCGCAAACTCAAAGAAGGAAAAAAAGTTGACGTGCCGATATATAATTTTGTCACACATCAACGTGAAGCTGCAACCAAAACTATGTATGGAGCAAATGTCATTATTTTTGAAGGAATTTTGGTATTTCATAGTCAAGATATATTAGATATGTTAGATATGAAAGTATTTGTCGACACAGATGCCGATATACGTTTGGCTCGACGTTTAAAAAGGTACACTTATATTATTATTATTATTATTATTATTATATATTATATACTAAACTTCGAAAGTAAAACCAATGGGATTAAAAAATAATCCATTTGGATTTTAAATAAAGTTTAGAAAGATTACATTCCAATCCCGAATATATGAAAAAAAACCTCAATTAAGATATTAAAACAATACTTTGAAATACTTTTTTTGAGCTTATATTTTTCATCATGCATATACAGTTATACACAATTATTTCTTATGCTATTTTTTGACTCTCGCTGCGGATGAAAAGACAAATAAATTCGCGCACTTTTCAACGTACTCAGTCTTCACTTTAAACGTACATCCGTACATGTGTGCTTGTCTGTATGTATTGTTTCTCAAATTCAAATGCTACAGTGTTTCTGTTTTGAACTGCATGTTGTGCTCCGCGAAATCGATGGCAACTAATAAAATGAATTCAAACTAATTATTTCAAGTTTTGTTTTAATATTCAAACGTAGGATTTGTTCCATATATATGGATTAGAATTTAATCTTTTGGAATTTATTAATTAAAAAATTCAAATGGATTAAGGTTCAATACCAATAGAAATAGTGTGATATTATAATTTGTTTTTTTTTTTTTTTCTATAGAGATATTACAATGAGAGGAAGAGATATAGAAGGAGTAATCAAACAATATTCTAGTATGGTAAAACCTGCATACTGTAATTATATTGCACCAACAATGGCTCACGCAGATATCATTGTTCCGCGTGGTGGAGATAACAAAGTTGCAATTCAATTAATTGTACAGCATGTTCACACACAATTACAATTGGTAAATTTATAAGAAGTATCACAGCGGACAGCATAGATCAAGAAAAAATATCAAAGTTTGAAAATCGGTCCAACTTTTTTTTTTCTAATATTTTGCTAAACCGAAAACTGTTCAGAAAAGGTGTCATATTATACCTATTCAATTTTTGAATAGGTTTTATTGGTTAGTGGAGCCTGAGAATAATCATGACTCAAATATTTTTAATTTGAAGAATGAAATATGACAGCCTAATAGTAAAACCGAAATGGAAGAAATTGAGCGTAAAAACATGATGCAAATTCTTCAGCGAGAGAACTTTCAAATTTTAGAACAAAAAAGTTTGTAAGGAGGGCAAAAACACAATATATCGAAACATTTGGGTGGAACATTTTTTGAATTTCGAGGCATATCTTGATGGCCACTTG